TCAGCAGATCCACCGACGTGTGCGACGAGCCAGCACGGGGGCCGTTTTCACACTCCCACAGAAGATCTCGAGGACCCCAAGTTCGAGCAAGATTCACGGCGCTCGAACCATCCCGCTCCTTTCGACGACCATGACAGGCGGGCCCGGAAACCTTTACCGTGGTGGGCTCAACCGGCACGTTATGGGCCCCGCGTGGATCGCCGGCACGTCTCTCTCGCTCGGCTTGAACGCCTTTTTAGACGAAATCAAACTCTGTATACCATGTCAAAATATAATCAAAATCAAACTCTGAACGTCTGAAGCGGGTGAAAAGAAGAATCCAACTCGGGACTGACAGGTGGGTCCGCATTGGCATCGACCCTAGGTAGGATAGGGTGCCACGGCCCGAAAGAAAAGGTCACGGACTCTAGGCCCCACATGTCATGGACCCCGTACTACACCAGGTGTCTGTGCTTTGCGGTGGCCATATCCGAAACCACTTATTAGTTTAGCAGTAAATCGGCTCTTAAATACACCCTCCCCGCCTCCGCACAGTCCTCACCTTCCTCCCTCGTCGGCGTCGCCTCTCCCTCTCCCACACGAAACCAGCTATCCCCCGATTCCGTGAGATCCGAGGAAGTTCGCCTCGCCTCGGCACTAGCCTCCGCCGCGTGGAAGATGGGATCGGAGGCGGACATGACCGGGCCCCTCCTCGCCGGCGGCAGCGGCGCCGCGCCGGCGGCGGAGGCGGAGGTGGTGCCGCCGTGGCGGGAGCAGCTCACGGTGCGGGGCATAGTGGTCAGCGCCATCCTCGGGGTGCTCTTCTGCCTCATCACGCACAAGCTCAACCTCACGGTGGGGATCATCCCCTCGCTCAACGTCGCCGCGGGGCTGCTCGGATACTTCCTCGTGCGGACCTGGACGGCGGCGCTCGAGAGGTTCGGCATCGTCTCCAAGCCCTTCACCAAGCAGGAGAACACCGTCATCCAGACCTGCGTCGTCGCCTGCTACGGCCTCGCCTTCAGCGGTACGTCTTCTCAACGTTACTTAGATTGCTTTGCTTGTTAGGTGGGAAGCTGCGATTCTGCCGTGTGATTTTGGGTTGCTTATTACTTACGTTTGGTTAGACCAGTTAACTAGAAGCCTTCCTGAATTGCGGAACTATGACGACCGTGGAAGTGTTAGTAGCCTGAACCGCTGAACCGCTGAATTATGATGACTGTGGAGGATATCTATTTTGGCGCAGGGAATGCCAAATTTGCATCATGAATATCGGGTTATAGTGTTGCATTTGTACTTTTGGAGTCGGAGGATTGCCGAATGATAGTTTGCCCGCTTCTCGTCGAGCTCACACTATGCCAACCATTATGTATCTTGATGCAGGGAATGTTAAATTTTACTACATCATAAATAGCCGGTTTTGGTGTTCCGTTGGGAGTGGGAGGGGTTGCTATGATTGTTCGCAATCGCACCCTTGTCATTGAGCTCACAATATCAATTGATGTTTCTATTGATGCAGGTGGCTTTGGGTCGTATATGCTTGCAATGGATCAGAAAACTTATGAGCTCATCGGGACTGATTATCCTGGTAACAGGGCGGTGGATGTTAAGAATCCTTCACTGAGTTGGATGATCGGATTCATGTTTGTTGTTAGCTTTCTTGGTCTATTTAGTCTTGTTGCGCTGCGCAAGGTATTCACTCATCTTATGGTTATCTGATCACCTTTTCTTTTTGATTAAGTGTGGTAAACTGATGTCTTTTTTTGTTTTTGCTAGGTGATGGTAATTGATTACAAGTTGACCTATCCTAGTGGAACTGCTACAGCTATGTTGATAAATAGCTTTCACACTACTTCTGGAGCTGAACTTGCAGAGTAAGAAACATACATTTGCTCGTTAGTTTTGTGCAAAAATAAATTAGCTTGCAGAGATGGTTCAATGTGCATTGTTTCTTCTTGTTGAGTGCGTTGTCCTTAAATTCCCTTTCTTCCCTGTGACACAATCAGATATTCATATGCATGAAACTGTTAACTGAAATGTAGTCTGCTGATGTAATAAATTGGGCTTTTGCACGAAACTATGCTGTAGAAACAAATGCAAAATTAATAATTCCAAAAATAAAGAGTGGTTTCTATCTACCTATGGTAGTTTTACTGGTATATCAGGTAATCCAAGTTTAGCATATACTCCCTCTGTCCACTTTTATAAGGCGTTTAGACAATTCAGACAACACACAAAATAGTGCACTGTCAGCTGTCCAAAACGTCTTATAAAATAGAACAGAGGGAGTATTTCCTATTGCTGCAAGTATTTTTGGTTCCATCTTCTAACCATCCAAGTTTAGCATATATATATATATATATATATATATATATATATATATATATATATATATAAATATAAATATAAAATAAGACCAGTGGCACCTTTTCTGTGTACAGAAGTATAAGTATTTGCCACAGTAATATACTAATCTACTAAGTTGGAAGTGAGTTCTCAGCCGAGTATTTACCTCACATTATCCATCTAACTAGCATTTAGGTGATATGGTATCCTATATGGACTGAACTTTACTGAGGAGATGTGCTAGGTAGTTTTGTCTCTTATTTTCCTTGTAAAGCACAAATAGGAAATGTCGATCATAAGGTTTTATTTATCTATATATATGGAGGTTATTGTATTCAGACCAGGAATGATGTGATGTGCTCTAAAGACTAAAATAGCTTGGAAAGGGAGTGCACATTAAATGTTTAACCTATGCACGCAGGGTGGATCTGAAGATAGAAAATAACAGTTCTCTTGTCTGTACAGCTAATTATGCAGCATATACTCGCTAAATTGCAATGACCTTTGATTCCTTTGTAGCAGTGTTCCAAGTTTCTTTGTATTTATACTGAACTTCTGTTTATGGTTGCAGAAAACAAGTTAGCTGTCTTGGAAAGTATTTAAGCATAAGTTTTGTCTGGAATTGCTTTAAGTGGTTCTTCAGTGGTGTTGGGGATTCTTGTGGCTTTGATAATTTCCCTTCTCTTGGACTTGCAGCATTTAAGAACACGTAAGATTGCTTTTAATTTGTTTTTGTCATTCCTCTAAGGTTAACTAGTCATAAGTCAAAATGCATATACATTTTAGTTTTGAGGGCGCAAAGAAATTTGCGTTCTTTGCCCCCTTGGCGGCCTTTAACCATCCCTCCCACTGCTATAACTTAGTTATCATGTGGAACTTGTCATCATCTAAGATGGATTATCCTTCCCATACTAAAAGTTTACCTGTTCCATATTTTCTAGGTTTTATTTTGACTTCAGTCCAACCTATATTGGGTGTGGTCTAATATGCCCACACATTGTTAATTGCTCTACACTTCTTGGAGCCATCATATCTTGGGGTTTTCTCTGGCCGTATATATCCACAAAAGCTGGGGAATGGTACCCAGCTGGCCTTGGAAGCAATGATTTCAAAGGACTCTATGGATACAAGGTATATTGATTTAAGATTTCATGATATTTATAACAACATTTAGTTCCATACTGCAGGCTGCAGCTTGACAATCCACCTATGATTTTTGTAGTAGAGCTAGAACTAGATTAATCACTTGTTACAAACTGTGGCTTGTTTCCACTCGATAATAATTAGCCAAGTAAATCTGTATATGCTGTTGAAGTAAACATGGAGTAATACTAATGACTCCCTTGCTGTTATGCATTTCATTAGCTGGCATTGTGATGGAAGCATTAAAAGTTTATTCAATATTCAGATTGTTTGAAATTTTGTTAGTTCTTAGCGAATTATAATATATACTCCCTCCGTTCCTAAATACTTGTCTTTCTAGGCATTTCAACAAGTGACTACATACGGAGCAAAATGAGTGAATCTACACTCTAAAATATGTCTACATACATCCGTATGTAGTAGTCATTTGAAATGTCTAGAAAGACAAATATTTAGGAACGGAGGGAGTAGATGGCAGCTCGTTTAACTCTGAAACTATTCTTTGTTCACAGACTGACCACTCTTTACTCATCAACTCTTTACAAGCTTATGTTTCGCAAAAACTAAATTGTCTCTCCATCCCATGTTCCAGGTTTTTATCTCTGTATCTGTGATACTTGGTGATGGTATCTATAACCTCATCAAGATCATTTATGCTACTATCAAGGAAATAATGAATGCACGATCAAAGCAAGGAAGGCTTCCCTTTGTCCGGGCTCAGGATGGTAATGTTCTTGCTGTACGCTGTACACCTACCAGGCTACCAGTATATCACATGTCATGCATCTCATCTTGTTCATGTCTTATTATTTTGCAGATGATGAAAGTTCTGAATTATCTTCCAAAGAAAAGCTTCTGAATGACGTATTTGTAAAGGACAGTATCCCTCCCTGGTTAGCAGGATCTGGTTATGTGGGGCTTGCAGCAATCTCAACTGCAACTGTACCAATGATGTTCCCACAGCTCAAGTGGTACCTTGTCCTTTCTGCCTATGTTGTTGCACCCCTACTCGCCTTCTGCAACTCATACGGCACCGGCCTAACAGACTGGAACCTTGCATCCACATACGGAAAGATTGGCCTTTTCATTTTTGCCTCATGGGTTGGCCAGCATGGTGGTGTGATCGCCGGCTTAGCAGCTTGTGGTGTCATGATGTCCATAGTGTCCACAGCTGCTGATCTCATGCAGGACTTCAAGACTGGTTACCTGACCCTCTCGTCACCAAGGTCCATGTTTGTGTCGCAGTTGATTGGGACTGCCCTTGGCTGTGTCATTGCTCCTCTCACCTTTTGGCTCTACTGGACGGCCTTCGATATTGGCAATCCTGATGGCATGTTCAAAGCTCCATATGCTGTCATCTTCCGTGAGATGGCGATTTTGGGCGTCGAAGGATTCTCGGCCCTCCCCCAACACTGCCTAGCAATCTGCTCTTTCTTCTTCTTTGCAGCCATAGCCATCAACCTCCTGAGGGACGTCACTCCAGACAGCGTGTCCAAATTCATCCCGCTCCCGATGGCCATGGCTGTTCCCTTCTACATTGGAGCGTATTTTGCGATTGACATGTTTGTCGGGACAGTCATCCTGTTTGTCTGGGAGAAGATTAACCGCAAGGAGTCGGAGGACTTTTCAGGTGCGGTTGCTTCGGGTTTGATCTGCGGTGACGGTATCTGGAGCGTCCCTTCTGCAATACTGTCTATCATGAGGATTGACCCGCCGATGTGCATGTACTTCAAGCCATCTCTTGCCTAGGGCGTAAATAGACTGTAGCTAGAATGTTGGTTTTATTGGGATGCCACAATAGAAGAGAATCGCATCGTGTACATATTTATTTCACACACACGTGTAAATCATACTGCGGCAAAAATAGCAGCAGCTCCGTTCATTCTGTTGATATCTCGACCCCTCTGTTGTCTTGCGTTTTTTATGTTTCCAATGCTGCAGTTTTCACATTTTGCTTGCTTGATCTAGTGTTTGCGCGGTACGGCTCTCTGGGAATTGCATATGCTTGGGCGCTCTGCCTCCAAAAAAAAAAGAAGCTTGTGCGCTTTGCCAAGCTGGGCAGGTAAGTAGGAAATCCACTATTCGATGGCTCTGATCTGAAAACCATTCCAGAACTTGCTTGATTATCCTCGAACTAAATCTCACACGCCTAAACTGACGCCGACGAATCTCAAAGCTCCACACATTTGAAGAAGTTTAAGATATCTTGTGATGGTTCGAATTGTGGGCACATTTGAAAACAAACTTTAGTGCTAACACCGTCCTTTGAACAAGACTGCAATCTTCCAAGAGATGTGATGATTTCTTAATAAATAAAGTATACGTAATTGCTGATGCCAACCACGAGGCTGCGATGATTTCTTGTAACGATTTGCTTGTGCAGTTGACTTAGTTGAGCATACAGATCACGAGTCCACTTTGACTTCCTACATGAGAAGTAGTTCCAAAATTCCAAATGAGAATGCGTACAGCATCCGAATCCGATGCTGAAATCCAAACCCTTGGCGCCACCACGTCATACCCCCCACTCCTCGCCGCCGGCGCCCGGGCCCTCCTACCCTCCGCCTCCGTGCCGCCACCGCCATGGCGGGAGCAGCCCACCCTCCGGGGCGTCGCCGTCGCGGCGGCGCTGGGCTCGCTGCTCTGCGTGGTGATCCACCGCCTCAACCTCACCGTCGGGGTCATCCCGGCCCTCAACGTCGCCTCCGGCCTCCTCGCCTTCTTCCTCACCACCGCCTGGCGGGCCGCCGCCGGGAGGCTAGGGTTCGGCCGCGGGAGCCCGTTCACCAGGCAGGAGAACACCGTCATCCAGACCTGCGCCATCGCGTGCGGCGGCCTCGCGTTCAGCGGTCAGGATATCTCTCTGCTACTCCAGTAGCTCTTTGCAGTGTTCACCGCGACATGTCGCCGTGAATTTCTCGAGCATTTAGTATTTTATTTTACGGAACGTCCCTCCCCTTCTTGTTCTTGGCAGGGTGCTCGGCATCGTACATCTTCGCGATGGATAGGAAAACGTATGAGCTCGTCGGGCCTGACTATCCGGGTAACCGAGTGGAAGACGTCAAAGATCCCTCGCTTGGTTGGATGATCGGTTTCCTGTTCCTCATTGCTCTCCTCGGGCCATTTGCTATTGTCATGCTACGAAAGGTATATTTTCTTGTATGGAAATGTTGCAAACATGGATTCTGGAAAAAAATTACCCTTGACTACAGAGTTAAAGTCCGCGTTTATGTTATTGTTTCTTAAGTCAAGTGCTGCAGGTATTGGTGGTTGATTACAAGCTTGCATTTCCTGGTGGGACAGCTACAGCACTGATGATTAATAGCTTGCATGGAGAACAAGAAGCTGATGTTACAGGGTATGGCAATTAGTACTTAGCTAAGTTCCGAGAATGTGGACACGGTGTCTTTTTTATGCATAATTACATGCCTTTCAACCGTACTCCAGACAACAAGAATTTTGGCTGCACTGGATAACCAATCCCGAGAATATGCATGACATGTTCTTGATGATGCCAGATTAACAATCTTCCCACCCGGCCTCCCAGTGAGTGACAGATACACAATCATGCAAACTTGCGTGATTGCGTCTGTTGTCACCAGATATGACTATGCATATGTTCTAAACTCTAAAGGAAATACACTTATGCTAAAATGGAGCCTGTGGGAAGTAGAGATGCATGAGCGATGGAAATAATTCATCTTTGCATACTGTTTTAGCACCTCCACTATTCACTTCCATGGCATCAGTGCCAAAAGGACAGATGTGCAGAAACCTGGTGGTTTATAGAGAATTCAGATGTGTGAAACTTGTTCAATCCATTTTCATCGAGCCAGCTAATGGCCACAAACATTTCGTAGTAAGTTTGGCCATTTGGGGCATTATAAGAACCTCTAGGTTCCGGAACAGAATTCTTAGCACAAGTGACACTACATTATACATGAGACTTGCTAATTTTCTATGCTGTTTGTAGTATTCATACACCACTTTAATTTCTGTAAGTATATACCCTTTTTCACATGTTTCTGCATTTTTATTGTATTGCCTTGCAGAAAGAAAGTCCTTTGCCTTGTAAAGTACATGAGCCTGAGTTTTGCCTGGAGCTTCTTTAAGTGGTTCTTTAGTGGTGTTGGTGACTCTTGTGGTTTTGACAATTTCCCAACATTTGGAGCTGCAGCTTTTAAGAACACGTAAGTCATCAATGACCCAATCACCCCCCTCCCCACCCCCTCTTCTGTACGCACACTGATGCTGACACACTTAACATTGTGGTTGCAATGAACGTGGACTGATTACTTGGGATGAGCTGTGGATGATGAATGTGAACTTCATATGTTATTGCTAAATCATGTACTCACCATTTTGTGTTAACTAAGATTTCATTATCATTGGGGAGGATCTGAGATCCGCAGACAAGTAATATACATTATAATTGACAGGCTCACTTTCATTCTTTCCCCCAAATTATGCATCTTCCTATTACGGTGCTAGTGACATTTTTAAAATACATAAGAATAGAAGTTACACCATCAATGACTAGTTTGCCACACTTCATGCTTTTTACCTATTCAAACTTGAGCTTGACTATAAGTTGTACGATATATATTATCTGTGATCTAGTTAAGAATGTCCAGTTGTCTGAAGTTATGTTTATCACATTCTGGCAGGTTTTATTTCAACTTCAATCCCAGTTATGTTGGATATGGTCTTATTTCTCCCCATATTGTTAACTGCTCAGTTTTTCTCGGGTCAGTCATATCATGGGGTTTTCTTTGGCCATTTATCGCTACGCAATCTGGCGATTGGTACCCAGATAACCTTAGTAGCAGTGACTTCAGAGGCCTATATGGTTACAAGGTACTTTTTTTTATATATAAAGGGTGGATTTTATCATATCTGTAATATTCTTTATATTCACAGATTCATTTGGTTGATGATAGTTTTCTCTTTGGTTGCAATTCCACTAAATTCACTCTGCAATTATCTTCAAATTCATCCGAAGCATTTCTTTTGAAGAGATTCTTTTTGCAAACAACTGTCCTTTTGATTGTAGTCAGTGTCATGGAAGTAACATGGGCTGCACGTGGATTTTCTTTTTCTTTTTTTTGATGTTTAGGGTAATCATTTGTAATATGAAATTAATGTAACATGGCCATGGTTGATTTTCTTCATATCATAAAGATGTTTATCCCTGCAGGTTTTTGTAGCCATTTCCATCATACTTGGAGATGGCCTCTACAACTTGGTCAAAATCTTTGTTGTCATTGCAAGAGAAATCTGTATTGTGCAATTAAAAAAAGGTGATCAGCCTGTTCATGCTCTTCAAGGTAACATCAGCAATTCTTGTTGTACAATTTTTGTTGCCCATTCAACGCGTTTACCATTTTATGACTTGAATTTGTTGCCTAAGAGCATTGATTGTACAGAATACAGGTCAATTATTCTTCAGTAATTCATTTCCTTGTAGTACAGTTGTGTTAGTTACTGTATTTGCTTGCAAGATATCATCTTGAATCATTTCTTTATATTTTTCAGATAATAAGAACTCTAGACAATCAAGGGATGATGAGCTTCAGATTGAGATGTTCTTCAAAGATAGGATACCCACACGGTTTGCTGTTTCTGGTTACATTGTACTTGCAGCAATATCCACCGCAGCTGTGCCCACCATATTTCCCCAGCTGAAGTGGTATGTGCTTGTCTGCTACTTACTTGCTGAAGTGGTATCTTGTGCTTGTCTGCTACTTACTTGGTCCGGCCATTGCCTTCTGCAACTCCTACGGGATGGGCCTCACAAACTTGAACCTTGCACCCACCTATGGCAAGATTGCCCTCTTTATATTCGCCTCGCTCGTCGGTAGCAGCGATGGTGGCGTCATTGCTGGCCTTGCAGCATGCGGCATAATCATGTCCATTGCCTGCTCTGCGGCAGATCTGATGCAGGACTTCAAGTGCGGCTACCTCACCCTCTCTTCACCACGTTCAATGTTCATCTCCCAGCTAACTGGCGTCGTGCTCGGATGCGTCATAGCTCCGCTCACACTGTGGCTCTTCTGGGCAGCCTTCGATATTGGTGACCCTGATGGTGAGTACAAGGCTCCGTTCGCCATCATCTTCAGGGAGATGGCCATTCTTGGGGTCGAAGGCATTGCCGCTCTGCCCCAGCACTGCCTCGAGATTTGTTGCGCATTCTTCTTGGCCGCGATGGCCGTCAATCTCCTGAGGGACGTGACGCCCGCCAGTGCGTCGAGGTTCATCCCCATACCAATGGCGATGGCTGTGCCGTTCTACATTGGCGCGTTCTTCGGCGTGGACATGTTAATTGGGACGGTAATCTTGTTCGTGTGGCAGAAGTTGAACCGGAGGGGTGCTGATGATTATGCGGTGGCAGTGGCGTCCGGGCTGATCTGTGGGGATGGGATATGGAGCATTCCATCTGCTGTTCTGTGCATCCTGAGAATTGATCCACCGGTCTGCATGGCCTTTAGGCCGTCCTCTGCCTTTTCCAGGTGAGAAGATGGATCCAGGGCTCACTCTAGGACATGGATTTGTGCCATTGAGTGATGAATCTCTGTAATTTCATACGTACAGATGTGCATCGTTTTACTCCTGTACAAAGGAAAACGAACCACAGCACTTTGGATTTGGAGCCATATTGCTCCTAACCAACTGTACCAAACATCGCGTTACACACATCCACTGTCTTCCATCTGTCTTTTTTTTGAACGGTCATCGGGGGAGGGGATCCCTCCCCACCTGAATATATTGATCAAAAAGCTGCCAAAGCCAAGAGTTACCTCGTAAACTTTGGTTGTTTTATCTTCCATCTGTCTTTCGGGCCTTCCATGTTTCACTAGTCATTATGCCAAAAATATCCTTGTTCATGTGTATATTTGTTTTTTTGTGAGTAGTACATTTGTCTTATCTCAATTCAAACTTTGTATAACTTTGATTAAGTTTATAGAGATATATTTTCATATGGTACTCCCTCCATGTCAATATAGTGCATGTTAGTTTTGTCCTAAGTGAAACTTTGTAAACTTTCACCAAGTGTATAGAGAAAATTATCGATATTTACAATATCAAATCAATGATATCCAATGATATGGAATCCATCATAAAACGTAGCATTGCATTGTATTGATTTGGTATTCTAGATATTGATTATTTTTTCTACAAACTTGGTTAGGTCTAAAAAAATGACTTTAAAAAATCCAAAAGACATTACATTTTTATATTAAAATGGCATGATTCCTGCATTTATTAACAAAAGTTGCTCAGTTAACTAGGGAAATCCGAGCGAAAACCAAATTGCCAAGTTAATCATCGAAAACCAGGCGGAAAACCAACACATCCACTAAGCGGCACACATAAATACCCCACTCACACCGCCTGGCCGAGACAACACACATGTGTCATTGTCATCACTCATGATCCCCTAGAGGCGTAACTGACATACCAAAATCTCGAGGAGACGACTTTGACTTCGCCCGTAGGCAATTGTCGACTCAACCAACATCACAGAGGCCGCCTGGGGCTATATAAAGATGCGCGCAAAATTCAGCCACCTGCGACCAGACCAGACAGCGCAGCTCCAGCTCTAACAAAGAGCTGTGAAGGAGAACTAGGCACGTGTGGCGCCGCATAAGATCACCGAACGAACCACATGTTGCTCGTCATCGTCCGTCACCGAGGTCTGCCACTGCAGCTTCGATTTCGCAGCAACAAACCAGCTAAGAAAATCCCACGGATACGCCCGAGAAGAGCCGACCATCGCAACTATTGTCGCGCCTTCGACATCACTCCCTCATCATCGTTGCCACAGAAGCCTTAACGCCAACACCGACGTCGAGAGCAACCTCGTCGCCCACACGACACGAGGCCAAACGCGCTCGATGCAGCGGAACCAACCCCGACCTTCATCCTCCACGTCGCGCCCTGCGCAGCCCGCCAACACCACCTTTCGAGGCCGCCACCTGACATGTCACCGCCCATACTCAAGATGCAATGCCGCATGACCTGGATGCCTGCAGCCCGCACTGCTCATGGAAACCGCATGCAGACCACGAATGCCGCACCACATCCGGGGTCGTCGCCCAGACCTGCTGCTGCTCGCCCTTGAGTTGCAACAATGCACGACGCGGATGCTCGCAGCCCATGCTGCTCAGAACAACCACATGTAGACGGCAGACCACGAATGCCGCACCACATTCGGGGTCGTCGCCCAGCCATGCTGCCGCTCTCTCTCGAGTTACAACGATGCACGACGCGGATGCTCGCAGCCCATGCTGCTCAGAACAACCACACGTAGACGGCAGACCACGATCGCGGCACCGCATCCGGGGCCGCCACCTGAAAGTGCTAGTTATCGACTAGAGGGGGGGGTTTGAATAGGCGACTTTTATGGAAGTCTTCAAAACACGGGGGCTTTGAAGACAAACAGTAGAAATGAACCTATTGATATGCAGCGAAAGGTAGACTACACTAGACAAGTCATAGTTAAGTAAGCCATGAAGTGAAAGCACGAAGACTATCAGCAGCTAGGTAGTATGGATCAGGAAGGAAAATAATATGAAGCCAAACAACAACAGTCTTCACCCAGTGAAGTCAATCAGATCATGCAAGCAGGCAAAGACTTCACGAAGACAAACTGTAAGTAAAGAGAGGTAAAGGATAGAACGAGTTGCTTGGTGAGGACAAGGATTTGTTGGACCAGTTCCAGTTGCTGTGACAACTGTACGTCTGATTAGGGAGGCTGAGATTCAACTCATAAGACCGCGTCTTCACCTTATTCCCCTTGAGCTAAGGACACATAGTCCTCGCCCAATCACTCTGGTAAGTCTTCAAGGTAGACTTCCAAACCTTCACAGACTTCGTTCATAAGCGATCCACAATGACTCTTGGATGCTCAAAACGCGACGCCTAACCGGTTGGAGGATTCACAGTCCTCAAGTGTAACAAGTCTTCATATCACGCAGACAAAAAGACTTCAGTGATGCCTAACACTCTTTGGCTCTGGGTGTTTAGGGCTTTGTCCTAACAAGGATCTCTCTCTCAAATGCTTCGGAGGTGGGTTGCTCTCAAACGACAAAAGCCGTGCACTAACTCTGAGCAACCACCAATTAATGGTGTAGGGGGTGGGCTATTTATAGCCAGGAGGCAACCCGACCTGATTTGTCCGGAATGACCTTAGGTCACCAAGGAACTGACACGTGTCCAACGGTCAGATTTCAAACACACGCGTCAGCTTGACTTGGGCTACAAGTAAAGCTGACTCGTCCAGCTCTGGATAAGATTTGCTCTCATTGTCTTCGCTCAAAGACATAGGATTTGGTTGAGCATCACATCAGTCACTCTGACTTTGTTCACTTGGACCCCACTTAATAGTACGATGGTTCCTATGACTCAACAAAGAAGAAAAGGAAAAAATGAAATAACTATGTATTTGTACTCCATAGTCTTCATGTGAATGTTTTCTCAAGTCATAATCTTCGTTGTGAATATCTTCACAGACCACCATTGTCTTCAATGTCTTCACACATTCTTAGGGGTCATCTCTGGTAGGTAAACCGAATCAATGAGGGACTTCTACCTGTGTTATCCTGCAATTCTCACAAACACATTAGTCCCTCAGCCACGTTTGCCGTCAATACTCCAAAACCAACTAGGGGTGGCACTAGATGCACTTACAATCTCCCCCTTTTTGGTGATTTATGACAAACTGGTTGAAGTTTTCAACGAGGATAAAAGTATGTGAAAGTTTGAGAATTAAGGCATTGTCTTCATAAGTAGTAAAAGGCCCCCCCTGAAGATGTGCATATAAGTAGTTTGCCTTTGAATGCAAATGCACATGGCAGGTTTTACTTTGTGGAGATCCTCTTCACTTATGAAGACAATTCATCATGCATGTAAAGATATAACAAAGATAAATACATGCATAATGTAAAATGGACGTCTGCGAAATGACTTCATGCGGAATTTATCATTGCATCACAGAGTATCAGAAAAAGTAGCAGATGACCATCGAGTTTAAGTGTTACAACCCCAAAGAACTAAATGTATCAAAAGACGAGAGTTGTAAACACTTGGCAAAAAAAAATACTGCAACCACGCATAAGGACCCGCTTGAAGACTATCAACTCATACACTTCTCCCCCTTTTGTCAGTAAGGACCAAAAAGGTTTGAAGACATAGAGTATCTACTCATTCCCATCAGGAGTAGAAGCAGGTACAGGGTCGACATTGGAGTTCGCTGGTCTAGAAGGGCCTGGTGCAGTGTCGAGATGCGGCGAAGCCATGGTTGGTGAAGTGGCATCGTCTTCTTCATCAACGACTCTCGCAACAATAGTTGCACCCGAAGAGGAATACTCAGAATCTTCAATGGATGGAGTGCGACGCCATCTTGCATTTTGTGGAGGCCTGGAGTCAAATTTGAAACCCTCTGCGAAGCCTTCTTCGTGAAGATCTTCTTCAGGGCATAGGAGTGTGAGACTCTTCCAAGACCTTCGACAGGCTTCATGGGCAACGAATGAGTTCTTGGTGGCCAAGTTTCTGATGTGATTGACGTCCACCAAGATACTATGCATCTAATGCTTTAGCCAGTCATGATGCTTGTCCCGCTTCTGATGTAAGGCCACAAGAAGCTCTCGGTCATTGAGAACACGAGAATGCTTTCGAGGCCTTTGAGCAATTGTACTCTCAATGGCTTCAGTGTTTGCACGATGGGGCACACACATATTGCCAGCCAGAGGATAAGCAAGAGTTGCAGCATTTGGAACATGAATCCCCTCAATTGGTTGCGTGAAACTTTGATGATCATCATTTTGAAGACATAGAGGTGTATTGGCAGGCTCTGGGTAGA